TACTTGTGCTTAATTAATAGACTCAAGGATGGAGAGGGAGTTGAGCCGCCTGCAAAAAGGAGGCGACGCTAATGGTCTTTTCTTTTCTTGTTCTAAGTATAGTCGCTTATCTGTACTTTTAGCTCACTCTTTCTCTCCTTCGTTAAGACCAAAAACAAAAAATAGGCTCATCAACAAAACCAGACGTTTGGCCGACCTTGAGCAATCGGAGTGATTGTTATAACATGTATGCAGAAAGGAGCAGAAAGGGGTTATCAAACCTTGATGACCGAAAAGAGGCGTTACTTTTTGCTGTCCTAATTACTTTGATCCATCACTGCGGGCTTCGTGCATAAGCGAACACATATAGGCACATACAAAGACAGAGACATTTACATGCTTCGAAGCTGACATATGGCCGTAGCTAACCAAATCACTTTATACTTGATCAACGAGGCTAGATCTAGAGTATATATACCGCATTTATGGGTTTGCCGGTGAGTTTTCGTGACTTCTTTTAGCTTGAATTTAGTCGTGACGATGATACTTTGCTGTTAGATGTTCGCCATATGACAGACGAAAGCTTAGCACCTTTTCACCTGAAGTGAAGGAGATTACTTTGGAAACAGCGTCACCATAAATGTTATATTAAAGCTAATCGACAGCTGGTCTAGAGAAATCCGCCGTCGTCTTCTGGTGGAATTGACCTTCGAATCTCTTCACCAAACACTTTCACTCGAAATGGAAGTAAGCTCAACAATTATGAAACAATATATTTCTCGAAACCCAAATTTACTTGTATTAGCTTTAATATGCGAAATTTAGTCCATAATTTTGAATCATATTCTGAATTTTGTAAGTTATAGTGATCGTACGTTTTATTGTTAAATACATTTAACGTTAAGGAAATCTGACAGCTTGGTAATTAAATTTAATTTTTAACTTGCATGTATAAATTGAACTTAGATTGGTATTTATAAAAACTTTTTAAGTGATCTGGCAAGATTTTTTTACTTACAATGCATGTCTTTACCTCGAACAATTTATTATCAACTTTTGGTTAATATCTTTATATGTTTAATTTTAGGGCTAAATCATATTGTTGTATTTGTATCTAAAATGTCTTGAGACTATTATTTAATCTTGAATAAGAGTTCTTATCACCCTAGCTGGCATAAAGTAGGCAGGACTAAGTGAAATTAATTATAAACGTAGGGTACATACATATTAGATTTTGACAAAATTCAATTATTAGTCTTTTACACCTTATGCGAACTAGGATGATTAGAACTCCTATATCCTATTTAATTTTCTCAAAAAAGCTATAAGGGCACGTAAAGGGAATCAGTTCCTTTCTCCGTATTCTCTGATTGATTCAGCCAAGCCAGAATTCCATCGCATCTGAGGTTTACTAAAGTTACAATTAGTATAATTTCCTAACAAATTTTCATCTGACATTAATATTCATAATCTAACTTTTTTATTTTTTATCTAAGGCCATGCCAGTAGAGCAGCTTTGCTCCAGTGGCTTTTGCCCTGCATTGTTCTTCCTCATTTTCTGATCGGGCGCCAGCCGGAACCTGGAATTATGCTGAGCATAAAGCATCTAGCCTCTCCAAATTCAGAGAAGCAACAATTAATGGAGCTGGTAAACTGGTCTCTTTTCTTCGGCCTCTCAATCTGGGCCTTCCTGATCACAATCTCGCGCGTCATCATGTCTCGTCATTATTTAACAGATGTCATTGCTGGCTACCTTATTGGCCTTGTAGAGGCAGGATTCTTGATTTTCGGCATGAATTGGGGCACCCTGACCGACGAGGTCACAGTGTGGTTGACTTCTTATTTAGCTTGGCCTATTAAACCGAATTAACACAAAACTGCCAAGTAAAATCGACTAATTGATTCACTAAGCCACTGGTGTGTACTTTTCTGATTGGTTGCGTGCCTTATTAAATTGATACCAATTGGTCACTCTATTATATTTTTATATTTTGGCATCTCTTTTTTTCCCTCATGCATATTTTGAATACCTTTAACTATTTTTGCCTTTGAGCTTCTTCAGGGATTCATGAAAGTACCACTTGCTTCTATTTTTTTAAATAAAATATAAGTACATATTTATGTATGTTTACGCATATATTTATGTATACTTAGTTATTCTCATATACGAATTCTTGACCATCGAGGTAATGATGGGTTTTTGGCTCGAACTATTCCGTTTACCCAAGTTACTTGTTTGCATGCGCACTTTACATTTCGAAATATTTTTACTTTTCGCTATTTTAGAGCATCCTATTTGTAAAATGTCTCAACTCTTTTCTCTTCCATACGCTATGCCCTTGAGAAAAATAACATGTAATT